CACTGTGTAACAGTTAGAGGTGTGGAATTGTGGAACACCAGCAGTGAAGAATTGAAAAACTGCAAAACCCTACCTATGCTTAAAAAGATTTATAAGAGTAACATATTAAAAGGATACCTTATTAATCTCTGAAAAAAGAGGAACTATGCAAACAAATCGGAGCATGTTTGATGGGTACAGATGCAACTTCTATCAGGTTGTTTTGTCATTTATTTTGTAGTGCAGCATATCATTTTTAGTTTTTTCTTTTTAATATTAAAGTATTATCCGTTGTTTTAAATATTAAAATGATGTTTTAAGGACTGTACAGGATAGGAAATCATAAGCATTGTGCTTCCGCCTAATCCTTTTTTTTGGTCAAGTTTGGAATTTTGTATCTTCTTCATTTGTTGTTAAGACCAAAAAATAAAACCATTCATTCAAACATCAAGTCCTTCTTTAATTAATCAATCTCATATCTTAGCCGAAATTCTCATTTCAGGGACTCCACTTCTGGAAGAACACTAACAGACCAGAACTAAGATAATGAGGATAAATAATAATAAGTGGATAAATAAAGATTCTGAGTCAGGCTAGGAGCACTAAAGTTAATGATAGTGAGTGAATATGCTCTAACATATTAACCTACACTAACTTTGGTGTCAAGATAAATTTGGATGTGGATTTGGATGAACCTAGGATTACCAGAATAAGTGAATATCTGAGTTATGACCGCATGAGACAGCATCAGCCCCGTTTGGAGCTCTGGAGGTTTGCATACTTAAGTGAAACTGGAGCAGGTGCTGAAAGTCCGGGGCTACCGGCTGTTCGAGAGGTTTGGCTCAAAAGACGACCGAAGTCAGACGAAAGAGATGGGCCAGGAGTTGCAGCACTCGGGCCCGAAGCAAAAGCCAGCGTTGTGGATCCTTTAGATGCTCGTTTGTCTCACTAAAAAACTCTGGCACAGAGGATGACTTTGGGCCTGCTGGGTGGCGTTCAGAAGTGACTTTGAAATCACGCAGATGACTCAGAAAAAGAGGCTCGATGGCCAGTCAAAACTATTATATTTCAAAAATGGCTTCGCAAAATGAAAGAAAAAACAATTAAAGGCTTAAACTTGAATTGCTATGCGTACAAAAAGTTGAAGTTTCAGAATTTGAACTAAGACGATGTTAAAGAAAAATCAACGTGAATCAACACGTGGCGTAAAAATTTGAAATTCACGTGTAAACACGTGAATGAACTTCATCATGGTTAATAATGGATTCTAAATACTCACATTCAGATTATTCAATGACATTATAACCGCCTAATGGTTAAAAATACTAAATAAATGACTAAAATATAAACCAAACATTTCTAAACTATTTCTGTTAGTTAAAGTTATGATTCATACTCAATACATTTAACTCTAAGAAGTTCATGAAATAGTCTGAAAAGCTGTTGGTCTAAAGAAACTAAAGAATAAAGGATTTATTCTGTCAGAGAGATTACTTGGCTTCTGGAGCACATACAAAAATGGGACACATCTCATTTTAACACAAATTTCATGATTAGACAGATTAGTACATTTCTGAATGCATAAAAATGTCATGATCAGTCATTTGTATTCTTTGTCCAAAGGAATGCAGTTTTTATAAGTACATGGTTGAGCAGGGTTTTACGACTGAGGTCTAGAGGTCAGTGTCCTGCTCCTCAGACCTTATCTTGGGGTCTGTATGTTTAAAACGGTAAATCTCAAATGGGAGACCTGGATTGAGGCAAGAATGATTATTTAGATGGTCAGCAATGGCGTCTGTTTGAAAGGTAACAAAGACTCTGTCTCTGTTCTCCGAATTGACCAATCATGAAGAGTCAGAGGTTTGGTCAACCTCCGGTTGTGTCAGTTAGGTAACCTGAAAGTGCAAACAAGTCTGGAAAGATTTACATCCTGTGTCCTGGGACCAGTAAGGAAACTTTCCTGCGAGGAATGTGTGAGTTTCACATACAGGGTTGTCTTGATTGCTACATGTCCATCCAACCTGTAATTGGACTAGTTGTAGTTATTCTCTTTGGATTGTACTCACAGAGAGCACGGGAAAGATCAACCAAATGTAGGATTTATGGTTGAGCTGGTAAACCTGACGCTTCCCAGTCAAGGTGTGATGCCAGATGTTTATCTGATCGAGTGGTCCTGCAGTTCTTTCCTGCTGGCCATAAACAGTGTCTTTGTCTCTTTGAAGTAGAAAGGATAGAAAGTTTGTGTTTTGAGAAGGCTTCTTTGGTTATCTTGTATAGAGACAGGAGGTTATAGAAGGATTGTGATTTGGTGTTAAAGGTTCATACCACCTTGTCTCTGGTGAGCAGATGTAAGCCTTATATTCTTTTGGGGGGTTGGGATGAGAAACTGGTCGTCTCTGCTACATTGCCAAGATCTGATGATGAACAACTTCAAAATGCAAGAGATCCAAGGTTTGAACAGGGTCTGAGCTCCACTTAGATTATTTAACCCAACACCCAGCATGACACACACACAAACAAACACACGCACACACACACACACACACACACACACACACACACACACACACACACACCTTGTTCTTTTTATGCTTATGTTTCATAAGTACAGACCATTTGGTTTAAGACTGCCTATACAAAATCAACCAAGCATTTGTCAAAAACTTCAGTAACCAAACTGTTGGATTGACACAGGAAATGTAAACACTGTAGTTTTGCCCACGGACAATAACTTGTCTCGTGCTGTCACACTTTGTCCTTCGTGGAAGCAGTTCAGCTATTGCCTCAGAGGACAGGCCATGTTGGTAAAGTATGCGAGCGATACGGTCCAGCTTGAGCTGTTGCAAGAATAACGTCTCATGTACATCAACTACTGCACTTGGATTAGCTGAAGTTGGTTTACATAGACAGTTAATCGAGCTACAGCTCAATTAGGTGATTTAACTGGACTTGCTGTCCAGTTGAGGTTTTGTTTTTTTGTTTTTTAACCGTGATTAAATTGGTTTTAAATAGTATCCCGGATCCCTTTTTTAAATTGCATACACAAAATATTTGTTAACCTACCTATGAACTTTCCCTGCTTGATTTATAGTTTTAATACAGATTTTTAACCAAATGTGTCTGTTTATGTCTCTCTCAAAATGAAATCATTCCCTCCTTTCAGGTAAGTAATACGGTAACCCAACACCAAGTTTTTCGAAAGATACATCTCGTTTTATTACTTAATAAAGATTTTTTTATTCTTTCTGAAGAATGAGAAAATGAATTAAAAATATTACTGATCCTTTAAACCTTCTATGTAACAGGAACCGTAACTGTTACTCACAGGAAAACACTGTGAGAGCTGTATCATACATAAAGACATAAAAAACAATATAAACACTTTTAACCCTCAAATGAATTAACTCAAGAAGACCAGTTTACCCATTTAAAGGTCATGTAAACATAAATTGTGGGCCTAAACACTTTAATGCACTGTCTACTTAATACAAAACTAAAATACCAAAGCAGTCCTGATGTGGTGCTCATGTTTGTTGTGGCGCAAAACTTGTGACGGCTTCACTTGTCAGTGAGCAAAATAAAACTAGGGCCCTGTTGGGGCACTGGCGGGCCCGAGCCATGTCGCGCCGCCCCCAGCGCGACCGCCTCCCCCTCCTGAACACGTCACACTCAAGGTCCAAAGATGGTGTGCGCACTTGTCTGTGGTCATTTACCATTATAATGAATGGGAGGCGCAGTTTCTACCAAAACGCTCACTGCAGACAAACTCCATGTTCTTTTTACACGTGTGTGTCAATTTTTGTGTCAATATGACAAAGCGTACAGGTGTGACACTCAATAGTGTGAATTTTCACCTTAGGGGGCGCTATGGAGCCATTTTATTTGGCATTTTATTGTTTGGGCGACTTCAGAATATCAAATTTTTCACCAGGCCCGGTCGTCCTGCCAAATTTCATGAGTTTTCGCCAGTGGGAAGTGGGCGATTTTCCAGTTCAAAGGGGAGGAAAAATAAGAAACTAGGACCCCGTTGGGGCACTGGCGGGCCCGAGCCGTGTCGCCCCCCCCCCCCCCCCCCCCCAACGCGCTGCCTCCCCGTCCCATTTGTGTCCTCTGGCCATCGCCCTCTCTGGTAACGCCCATCACTGCAAAGACCCTTTTCCTTCATCGGCGTTTGCTGTTCTTCCTGCCAGTGCGTGTTGCTTTCACTTACACTTGCCACAGCCAGCCTCGTGAGTGCCTAGCCTATTGGATATCACTGTCACCTACACAGGACAGTCATTACCTTTCTATTAATACTTTGTGTTTTAATTTCACATTAATTTCCATATTGTATAAACGACTGGAAAAAACTTGAGCCCCTGCCCCTGTATTATCATGTGCACGTCCCTGTTCTAGCTCCAAGGTGAATCTTCACTGCTCATGTTCTCCTCAGAAGCAGTCACCTCACTCCCCTCAGGTTACTGTACACATGCACCAACTGCCTGCTTCAGGTTTGGATGGAGCTTCATGGTTGTCTTTTGGAGAAATGAGCAGTCAAGTTGTGTTGGAAATTTGATTTTTTTCAGGGGCAAAAGGAAGCCTCTGCATTCTTGTCAAATATGTAAATAGCATGTTTTTGCAGGTGCTAAAAAACAGACTCTGAGTGTGTGTGTGTGTGTGTGTGTGTGTGTGTGTGTGTGTGTGTGTGTGTGTGTGTGTGTGTGTGCGTGTGTGTGTGTGTATCCTGCAGTACTCTGAGAAGAATAATAAGCATATTTCTGAGGTGAATTTTGAAGATTCATCTGAGAGTTAGGTTTGATTCGATTCGATTGACGCTCCCCAGCGTTCAAGTCACATGACATATTTAACCAGATGTAGCTGCAAGAGGGAGCCTCGTTAACTCTCCGTTTCAACTTATCTCAAAAGTGAGGACCTCAACCTATATACCAGTTTTTAAATTGTGTTGATAGGCCAAATAAAACCAGAGTTATGATAAATTATGTCCGCGATACTTTTTTTCTGCTTATTTTGATCACGTTCGGCGCTCGATCGCGCTGTATGAGACAGGAAAACATAGCATGCACACATTAGCGACAGGTCTTACAGGCGGAAAAGGCTTGCCTAAAGAAAAAAAAAACACACCACAACATCTCTCCTATTGGTGGAAAACTTCACCACAACAACCAATCCAAAATTATATGGTGACTGATTGACAAGGGGCGGGCGCTTACGTTCTTCCTGCAATATGAGAAGGGAGGGAGGGACTCTCAGCAGGGATGCAGTCTGGGACACGTAGTTGCAAACCTAGCGACTTTGTTGTTAGATTCAATTACTTTTCAGACCCCCTAACGACTTTTTTTAGAAAGAAAGGGACTTTTATCGACTTCTTCTGGAGTTTAGAGACTCTGACATGAAGCAGGCTTTCCTTACTGAGGAGTTAGCAACGCTGCTAAGGGTGCAGAGCCACACATGCGCTCCGAGCTCTGCATGGGAGACTGAAGCTGACAGAGCTGCAGCAGTTAGCAGGTTTCACCCTCAGAGACCACCAGGGGTTCATGTTGAGGCATTTTCAGTTTTTGTTTTTTTTGCCATAGACTGTCAGCACAATCTGCAGTTACACTAACAAAAATGCTGCAAAAAACAAAGAATTATGGAAAAATTACACATGGACTGACATAGAGGAGGATCTACACAAGTTTTTTACATCATGTTTTACATCATGCATCATTTACATCATTCATCATTTTTTGTAGTGGCATAAATAAAAAGTGACATTTGTGAGACTATACAGTGTTTTGTAAATAATTTTACAAAGAACGCCTGGGCCATTGCCTGCATTTTGATGTAAATAGAGGTAAATTACTATGTTCTTTGTTAAAAATTTGCATATGTTTTGAAGTTTACAATTTTTATTTGAAGTTTAAGTTTTAAAAACAGTTCATCACACATATTTGTGGTTTAATTTCACATTAATTTCCATATTGTATAAATGACTGGAAAAAACTTGAGCCCCTGCCCCTGTATAATCATGTGCACGTCCCTGTTCTAGCTCCAAGGTGAATCTTCACTGCTCATGTTCTCCTCAGAAATAGTCACCTCACTCCCCTCAGGTTACTGTACACATGCACCAACTATCTGCTTCAGGTTTGGATGGAGCTTCATGGTTGTCTTTTGGAGAAATGAACAGTCAAGTTGTGTTTGAAATATGATTTTTTTCAGCGGCAAAAGGAAGCCTCTGCATTCTTGTCAAATATGTAAACAGCATGTTTTTGCAGGTGCTAAAAAACAGACTCTGAGTGTGTGTGTGTGTGTGTGTGTGTGTGTGTGTGTGTGTGTGTGTGTGTGTGTGTGTGTGTGTGTGTATGTGTGTGTATCCTGCAGTACTCTGTACTCCTGCAGTGGCCAAAAAGACTTTTAAGAATGTGGATTTTTGGGTCATCTTTGGCGCCCCCTAGAACTGCAGTACTCTGTACTCCTGCAGTGGCCAAAATGACTTTTAAGAATGTGGATTTTTGGGTCATCTTTGGCGCCCCCTAGAACGTAAACCGTGGGGTGCAGCGTCATGATTTTTACAACTTTGAATGGGCATGGGGTGTAGATTGCCCTGAGCAAATTTGGTATCGGTGGGACGAAAGCCTTAGGAGGAGATAGCCACATTCCAATGTGTGTGAATCGGCAAAAAATGCGAAATAGCCCTTTAACCGTACATTATACAGATACGCGCTTTTGACTTTTTCGTAGATCTAATTGAGATACGCATGATTGTCAATTTTTGTGTCAATATGACAAAGCGTTCAGGCGTGACACTCAACAATGTGTATTTTCATGTAAGGGGACAAGAAAAAATTGACTTTTTTCTCCTGCCATGGGGGGGCGCTCTTTTGGGGAGTAAAAATTCCTTCACAAATGTGTTGATGGCTGGACATTGCATCATCCTAGAAAACTTGGAGGGCAGTGAGGACAAAAATAAAAAGTTATAAGACTTTTAAGAATGTGGATTTTGGGTTATCTTTGGCGCCCCCTAGAACGTAAACCGTGGGGTGCAGCGTCATGATTTTTACAACTTTGAATGGGCATGGGGTGTAGATTGCCCTGAGCAAATTTGGTATCGGTGGGACGAAAGCCTTAGGAGGAGTCAGCCACATTCCAATGTGTGCGAATCGGCAAAAAATGCGAAATAGCCCTTTAACCGTACATTATACAGATACGCGCTTTTTGACTTTTTCGTAGATCTAATTGAGATACACATGATTGTCAATTTTTGTGTCAATATGACAAAGCGTTCAGGCGTGACACTCAACAATGTGTATTTTCATGTAAGGGGACAAGAAAAAATGGACTTTTTTCTCCTGCCATGGGGGGGCGCTCTTTTGGGGAGTAAAAATTCCTTCACAAATGTGTTGATGGCTGGACATTGCATCATCCTAGAAAACTTGGAGGGCAGTGAGGACAAAAATAAAAAGTTATAAGACTTTTAAGAATGTGGATTTTGGGTTATCTTTGGCGCCCCCTAGAACGTAAACCGTGGGGTGCAGCGTCATGATTTGTACAACTTTTAATGGCCATGGGGGGTAGATTGGCCTGCGCAAATGTGGTGCCGGTCGAACGAAAGCCTTCGGAGGAGTTAGCGAAATTCCAATGTGTGCAGATCTGCAAAAAATGCAAAATAACCCATTAACCGTACATTTGACAGATACGCCCGCACTGACTTTTTTGTAGATCTTATTGAGATACATGTGTGTGTCAATTTTTGTGTCAATATGACAAAGCGTACAGCCGTCATGTGAATTTTCACCTTAGGGGGCGCTATGGAGCCATTTTGCATTTTATTGTTTGGGCGACTTCAGAATATCGAATTTTTCACCAGGCCCGGTCGTCCTGCCAAATTTCCTGAGTTTTCGCCAGTGGGAAGTGGGCCATTTTCCAGTTTAAAGCGGAGGAAAAATAATAACGAAAGAAGGAAACATGCAGGAACAAGAGGGCTCTCGCAGCTGCTTAGCAGCTACGCTCGGGCCCTAAGAAAGAAAAACCCATACAGGAATGAGAGGGCTCTCGCAGCTGCTTAGCAGCTACGCTCGGGCCCTAAAGAAAAAAAGAAACAAAGAAGAACCATACAGGAATAATAGGGCTCTACGCCCGGCTGCTCTGCAGCTGGCTCGGGCCCTAAAAAGTTAAGAATGTGGATTTTTGGCGCCCCCTAGAACCTAAACCGTGGGGTGCAGCGTCATGATTTGTACAACTTTGAATGGCCATGGGGTGTAGATTGGCCTGAGCAAATTTGGTGTCAGTGGGACGAAAGCCTTAGGAGGAGTTAACCACATTCCAATGTGTGCGGATCGGAAAAAAATGCAAACTAGGACCCCGGTGGGGCACTGTCGGGCCCGAGCCGCGTCGCGCCGCCCCCAGCGCGACCGCCTCCCCCTCCCGATCGCGTCACACTCAAGGTCCAAAGATGGTGTGCGCACTTGTCTGTGGTCATTTCCCATTATAATGAATGGGAGGCGCAGTTTCTACCAAAACACTCGCTGCAGACAAACTTCATGTCCTATTTGAAAAAAGTCTGGACCATGAGTGAGGGCACAAACACAGCTAGGATATATCCAAATGGCAGGTTGCTCCTCGTTACGGTGTTGCCGGGAGAGTGATGCGATTGAGCCATTGAGTGATGGGCAGGAAAAACTTGACTGTTTCTCCTGCCATGGGGGTTGGGGGATGGGGGGGGGGGATGTGGATTCTTTTAAGAATGTGGATATTTGGGTCATCTTTGGCGCCCCCTAGAACGTAAACCGTGGCGGCAGCGTCATGATTTTTACAACTTTGAATGGCCATGGGGTGTAGATTGGCCTGAGCAAATTTGGTGTCAGTGGGACGAAAGCCTTAGGAGGAGTTAGCCACATTCCAATGTGTGCGAATCGGCAAAAAATGCAAAATAGCCCTTTAACCGTACATTTTACAGATACGCGCGCATTGACTTTTTCGTAGATCTTATTGAGATACATGTGATTGTCAAATTTTGTGTCAATATGACAAAGCGTACAGGTATGACAGTCAACAATGTGTTTTTTCACCTTATGGGACAAGAAAAAATGGACTTTTTTCTCCTGCCATGGGGGGGCGCTCTTTTGGGGAGTAAAAATTCCTTCACAAATGTGTTGATGGCTGGACATTGCATCATCCTAGAAAACTTGGAGGCCAGTGAGGACAAAAATAAAAAGTTATAAGACTTTGAAATATGTGGATTTTAGGGTTATCTTTGGCGCCCCCTAGAACCTAAACCGTGGGGTGCAGCGTCATGATTTGAATAACTTTTAATGGCCATGGGGTGTAGATTGGCCTGAGCAAATGTGGTGCCGGTGGAACGCCAGCCTTAGGAGGAGTTAGCGAAATTCCAATGTGTGCGGATCAGCAAAAAATGCGGAATAACCCTTTAACCGTACATTTGACAGATACGCGCGCATCGACTTTTTCGTAGATCTTATTGAGATACATGTGTGTGTCAAATTTTGTGTCAATATGACAAAGCGTACAGGCGTGACACTCAACAATGTGTATTTTCACCTTAGGGGACAAGAAAAAATGGACTTTTTTCTCCTGCCATGGGGGGGCGCTCTTTTGGGGATTAAAAATTCCTTCACAAATGTGTTGATGGCTGGACATTGCATCATCCTAGAAAACTTGGAGGCCAGTGAGGGCAAAAATAAAAAGTTATAAGACTTTTAAATATGTGGATTTTAGGGTTATCTTTGGCGCCCCCTAGAACGTAAACCGTGGGGTGCAGCGTCATGATTTGAATAACTTTTAATGGCCATGGAGTGTAGATTGGCCTGAGCAAATGTGGTGCCGGTGGAACGAAAGCCTTAGGAGGAGTTAGCGAAATTCCAATGTGTGCGTATCGGCAAAAAATGCGGAATAACCCTTTAACCGTACATTTGACAGATACGCCCGCACTGACTTTTTTGTAGATCTTATTGAGATACATGTGTGTGTCAATTTTTGTGTCAATATGACAAAGCGTAAAGGCGTGACAGTCAATAGTGTGAATTTTCACCTTAGGGGGCGCTATGGAGCCATTTTGCATTTTCTTGTTTGGGCGACTTCGGAATATCAAATTTTTCACCAGGCCCGGTCGTCCTGCCAAATTTCATGAGTTTTCGCCAGTGGGAAGTGGGCCATTTTCCAGTTCAAAGGGGAGGAAAAAGAGGAAAGATGAACTAGGGCCCCGGTGGGGCACTGTCGGGCCCGAGCCGCGTCGCGCCGCCCCCAGCGTGACCGCCTCCCCCTCCCGATCGTGTCACACTCAAGGTCCAAAGATGGTGTGCGCACTTGTCTGTGGTCATTTCCCATTATAATGAATGGGAGGGGCAGTTTCTACCAAAACACTCGCTGCAGACAAACTTCATGTCCTATTTGAAAAAAGTCTGGACCATGAGTGAGGGCACAAACACAGCTAGTATGTATCCAAATGGCAAGTTGCTCCTCCTTTCGGTTTTGCCGAGAGAGCGATGCGTTTGAGCCATTGAGCGATGGGCAGGAAAAACTTGACTTTTTCTCCTGCCATGGGGGGGCGCTCTTTTGGGGAGAAAAAATTCCTTCACAAATGTGTTGATGGCTGGACATTGCATAATCCTAGAAAACTTGGAGGCCAGTGAGGACAAAAATAAAAAGTTATAAGACTTTTAAAAATGTGGATATTTGGGTCCTCTTTGGCGCCCCCTAGAACGTAGACCGTGGGGTGCAGCGTCATGATTTTTACAACTTTGAATGGCCATGGAGTGTAGATTAGCCTGAGCAAATTTGGTGACAGTGGAACTCAAGCCTTCAGAGGAGTTAGCGAAATTCCAATGTGTGCAAATCGCCAAAAACTGCGAAATTGCCCTTTAACCGTACATTTTACAGATACGTGCCCATTGACTTTTTCGTAGATCTTATTGAAATACACGTGTATGTCAAATTTTGTGTCAATATGACAAAGCGCATAGGCGTGAATCTCAACAATATGTACTTTCACCTTAAAGGACAAGAAAAAATGGACTTTTTTCTCCTGCCATGGGGGGGCGCTCTTTTGGGGAGAAAAAATTCCTTCACAAATGTGTTGATGGCTGGACATTGCATCATCCTAGAAAACTTGGAGGCCAGTGAGGACAAAAATAAAAAGTTATGACTTTTAAATATGTGGATTTTAGGGTTATATTTGGCGCCCCCTAGAACCTAAACCGTGGGGTGCAGGGTCATGATTTGAATAACTTTTAATGGCCATGGGGTGTAGATTGGCCTGAGCAAATGTGGTGCCGGCGGAACGAAAGCCTTAGGAGGAGTTAGCCACATTCCAATGTGTGCAGATCGGCAAAAAATGCGGAATAACCCTTTAACCGTACATTTGACAGATACGCGCGCACTGACTTTTTTGTAGATCTTATTGAGATACATGTGTGTGTCAATTTTTGTGTCATTTTGCCAAAGCGTACAGGCGTGACACTCAACAATGTGTATTTTCACCTTAAAGGACAAGAAAAAATTGACTTTTTTCTCCTGCCATGGGGGGGGGGCGCTCTTTTGGGGATTAAAAATTCCTTCACAAATGTGTTGATGGCTGGACATTGCATCATCCTAGAAAACTTGGAGGCCAGTGAGGGCAAAAATAAAAAGTTATAAGACTTTTAAATATGTGGATTTTAGGGTTATTTTTGGCGCCCCCTAGAACCTAAACTGTGGGGTGCAGCGTCATGATTTGAATAACTTTTAATGGCCATGGGGTGTAGATTGGCCTGAGCAAATGTGGTGCCGGTGGAACGAAAGCCTTCGGAGGAGTTAGCGAAATTCCAATGTGTGCAGATCGGCAAAAAATGCTAAATAACCCTTTAACCGTACATTTGACAAATACGCCCGCACTGCCTTTTTTGTAGATCTTATTGAGATACATATGTGTGTCAATTTTTGTGTCAATATGACAAAGCGTACAGGCGTGACAGTCAATAGTGTGAATTTCCACCTTAGGGGGCGCTATGGAGCCATTTTGCATTTTATTGTTTGGGCGACTTCAGAATATCGAATTTTTCACCAGGCCCGGTCGTCCTGCCAAGTTTCATGAGTTTTCGCCAGTGGGAAGTGCGCCAAAGATAACCCTAAGATCCACATATTTAAAAGTCTTATAACTTTTTATTTTTGCCCTCACTGGCCTCCAAGTTTTCTAGGATGATGCAATGTCCAGCCATCAACACATTTGTGAAGGAATTTTTACTCCCCAAAAGAGCGCCCCCCCATGGCAGGAGAAAAAAGTCCATTTTTTCTTGTCCCCTAAGGTGAAAATACACATTGTTGAGTGTCACGCCTGTACGCTTTGTCATATTGACACAAAATTTGACACACACATGTATCTCAATAAGATCTACGAAAAAGTCAATGCGCGCGTATCTGTCAAATGTATGGTTAAAGGGTTATTCCGCATTTTTTGGCGATCCGCACACATTGGAATTTCGCTAACTCCTCTGAAGGCTTTCGTTCCACCGGCACCACATTTGCTCAGGCCAATCTACACCCCATGGCCATTAAAAGTTATTCATATCATGACGCTGCACCCCACGGTTTAGGTTCTAGGGGGCGCCAAAGATAACCCTAAAATCCACATATTTCAAAGTCTTATAACTTTTTATTTTTGTCCTCACTGGCCTCCAAGTTTTCTAGGATGATGCAATGTCCAGCCATCAACACATTTGTGAAGGAATTTTTACTCCCCAAAAGAGCGCCCCCCCATGGCAGGAGAAAAAAGTCAATTTTTTCTTGTCCCGTAAGGTGAAAATTCACATTGTTGAGTGTGACACCTGTACGCTTTGTCATATTGACACAAAATTTGACAATCACGTGTATCTCAATAAGATCTACGAAAAAGTCAATGGGTGCGTATCTGTCAAATGTACGGTTAGAGGGCTATTTTGCATTTTTGGCCGATTCGCACACATTGGAATGTGGCTAACTCCTCCTAAGTCTTTCGTCCCACTGAAACCAAATTTGCTCAGGCCAATCTACACCCCATGGCCATTCAAAGTTGTAAAAATCATGACGCTGCACCCCACGGTTTACGTTCTAGGGGGCGCCAAAGATGACCCAAAAATCCACATTCTTAAAAGTCATTTTGGCCACTGCAGGAGTACAGAGTACTGCAGTTCTAGGGGGCGCCAAAGATGACCCAAAAATCCACATTCTTAAAAGTCTTTTTGGCCACTGCAGGAGTACAGAGTACTGCAGGATACACACACATATACACACACGCCAACATACACACACACACACACACACACACACACACACACACACACACACACTCAGAGTCTGTTTTTTAGCACCTGCAAAAACATGCTGTTTACATATTTGACAAGAATGCAGAGGCTTCCTTTTGCCCCTGAAAAAAATCAAATTTCGAACACAACTTGACTGTTCATTTCTCCAAAAGACAACCATGAAGCTCCATTTCAAACCTGAAGCAGATAGTTGGTGCATGTGTACAGTAACCTGAGGGGAGTGAAGTGACTATTTCTGAGGAGAACATGAGCAGTGAAGATTCACCTTGGAGCTAGAACAGGGACGTGCACATGATTATAAAGGGGCAGGGGCTCAAGTTTTTTCCAGTCATTTATACAATATGGAAATTAATGTGAAATTAAACCACAAATATGTGTGATGAACTGTTTTTAAAACTTAAACTTCAAATAAAAATTGTAAACTTCAAAACATATGCAAATTTTTAACAAAGAACATAGTGATTTACCTCTATTTACATCAAAATGCAGGCAATGGCCCAGGCGTTCTTTGTAAAATTATTTACAAAACACTGTATAGTCTCACAAATGTCACTTTTTATTTATGCCACTACAAAAAAACATGATGTAAATGATGCATGATGTAAAACATGATGTAAAAAACTTGTGTAGATCCTCCTCTATGTCAGTCCATGTGTAATTTTTCCATAATTCTTTGTTTTTTGCAGCATTTTTGTTAGTGTAACTGCAGATTGTGCTGACAGTGTCTATGGCACAAAAAAAAAAAAAAATTAAAATGCCTCAACATGAACCCCTGGTGGTCTCTGAGGGTGAAACCTGCTAACTGCTGCAGCTCTGTCAGCTTCAGTCTCCCATGCAGAGCTCTGAGCGCATGTGTGGCTCTGCACCCTTAGCAGCGTTGCTAACTCCTCAGTAAGGAAAGCCTGCTTCATGTCAGAGTCTCTAAACTCCAGAAGAAGTCGATAAAAGTCCCTTTCTTTCTAAAAAAAAGTCGTTAGGGGGTCTGAAAAGTCATTGAATCTAACAACAAAGTCGCTAGGTTTGCAACTACGTGTCCCAGACTGCATCCCTGCTGAGAGTCCCTCCCTCCCTTCTCATGTTGCAGGAAGAACGTAAGCGCCCTCCCCTTGTCAATCAGTCACCATATAATTTTGGATTGGTTGTTGTGGTGAAGTTTTCCACCAATAGGAGAGATGTTGTGGTGTGTTTTTTTTTTCTTTTGGCAAGCCTTTTCCGCCTGTAAGACCTGTCGCTAATGTCTGCATGCTATGTTTTCCTGTCTCATACAGCGCGATCGAGCGCCGAACGTGATCAAAATAAGCAGAAAAAAAGTATCGCAGACATAATTTATCATAACTCTGGTTTTATTTGGCCTATCAACACAATTTAAAAACTGGTATATAGGTTGAGGTCCTCACTTTTGAGATAAGTTGAAACGGAGAGTCAACGAGGCTCCGTCTTGCAGCTACATCCGGTTAAATATGTCATGTGACTTGAACGCACACACAGACACACACACACGCACACACACACACACACACACACACACTCAGAGTCTGGTTTTTAGCACCTGCAAAAACATGCTATGTACATATTTGACAAGAATGCAGAGGCTCCTTTTGCCCCTGAAAAAAATCAAATTTCAAACACAACTTGACTGCTCATTTCTCCAAAAGACAACCATGAAGCTCCATCCAAACCTGAAGCTGGCAGTTGGTGCATGTGTACAGTAACCTGAGGGGAGTGAGGTGAGTGCTTCTGAGGAGAACATGAGCAGTGAAGATTCACCTTGGAGCTAGAACAGAGACATGCACATGATTATACAGGGGCAGGGGCTCAAGTTTTTTCCAGTCGTTTATACAATATGGAAATTAATGTGAAATTAAAACACAAAGTATTAATAGAAAGGTAATGACTGTCCTGTGTAGGTGACAGTGATATCCAATAGGCTAGGCACTCACGAGGCTGGCTGTGGCAAGTGTAAGTGAAAGCAACACGCACTGGCAGGAAGAACAGCAAACGCCGATGAAGGAAAAGGGTCTTTGCAGTGATGGGCGTTACCAGAGAGGGCGATGGCCAGAGGACACAAATGGGACGGGGAGGCAGCGCGTTGGGGGGGGGGGGGGGGCGACACGGCTCGGGCCCGCCAGTGCCCCAACGGGGCCCTAGTTAGGGCCCGAGCGTAGCTGCTAAGCAGCTGCGAGAGCCCTCTTGTTCCTGATGGATTCTTCTTTCGTTATTTTTCCTCCGCTTTAAACTGGAAAATGGCCCACTTCCCACTGGCGAAAACTCAGGAAATTTGGCAGGACGACCGGGCCTGGTGAAAAATTTGATATTCTGAAGTCGCCCAAACAAAAAAATGAAAAATGGCTGCATAGCGCCCCCTATGGTGAAAACTCACCTGACGCCTGTACACTTTGTCAAAATGACACAAAATTTGACACACATGTGTATCTCAATAAGATCTACAAAAAAGTCAGTGCAGGCGTATCTGTCAAATGTACCGTTAAAGGGCTATTTCGCATTTTTTGCCGATCCGCACACATTGGAATTTCGCTAACTCCTCCGAAGGCTTTCGTTCCACCGGCACCACATTTGCTCAGGCCAATCTACACCCCATGGCCATTAAAAGTTGTACAAATCATGATGCTGCACCCCACGGTTTAGGTTCTAGGGGGCGCCAAAGATAACCCAAAAATCCACATTCTTAAAAGTCTTATAACTTTTTATTTTTGTCCTCACTGGCCTCCAGGTTTTCTAGGATGATGCCATGTCAAGCCATCAACACATTTGTGAAGGAATTTTTACTCCCCAAAAGAGCGCCCCCCCATGGCAGGAGAAAAAAGTCAAGTTTTTCTTGTCCCCTAACATGAAAATACACATTGTTGAGTGTCACGCCTAAACGCTTTGTCATATTGACAAAATATTTGACAATCACGTGTATCTCAATAAGATCTACAAAAAAGTCATAGAGCGCGTATCTGTATAATGTACGGTTAAAGGGCTAGTTTGCATTTTTTGCCGATCCGCACACATTGGAATTTCGCTAACTCCTCCGAAGGCTTTCGTTCCACCGGCACCAAATTTGCTCAGGCCAATCTACACCCCATGGCCATTAAAAGTTGTACAAATCATGACGCTGCAACCCACGGTGAAGGTTCTAGGGGGCGCCAAAGATAACCCAAAAATCCACATTCTTAAAAGTCTTATAACTTTTTATTTTTGTCCTCACTGGCCTCCAAGTTTTCTAGGATAATGCAATGTCCAGCCATCAACACATTTGTGAAGGAAATTTTACTCCCCAAAAGAGCGCCCCCCCATGGCAGGAGAAAAAAGTCTATTTTTTCTTGTCCCCTAAGGTGAAAATACACATTGTTTAGTGTCACGCCTGTACGCTTTGGCAAAATGACACAAATATTAACACACACATGTATCTCAATAAGATCTACGAAAAAGTCAATGCGCGCGTATCTGTCAAATGTACGGTTAAAGGGTTATTCCGCATTTTTTGCCGATCCGCACACATTGGAATGTGGCTAACTCCTCCTAAGGCTTTCGTTCCACCGGCACCACATTTGCTCAGGCCAATCTACACCCCATGGCCATTAAAGGTTATTCAAATCATGACGCTGCACCCCACGGTTTAGGTTCTAGGGGGCGCCAAAGATAACCCTAAAATCCACATATTTAAAAGTCTTATAACTTTTTATTTTTGTCCTCACTGGCCTCCAAGTTTTCTAGGATGATGCAATGTCCAGCCATCAACACATTTGTGAAGGAATTTTTACTCCCCAAAAGAGCGCCCCCCATGGCAGGAGAAAAAGTCCATTTGTTCTTGTCCCCTAAGGTGAAAATACATATTGTTGAGATTCACGCCTATACGCTTTGTCATATTGACACAAAATTTGACAATCACGTGCCTTGCCTGGTATCATTTTTTTCAGCACAACCTCACCTGTGCGAATTTACAGTTATTTTATCATGTTGACATACTGAATTTACACAATGGACCCAAATTCACACACAAAACATAAAATCCGAGTGGAAAAAAGTAACATTTTTACTGTGAAAACCACAAATATGTGTGATGAACTGTTTTTAAAACTTAAACTTCAAATAAAAATTGTAAACTTCAAAACATATGCAAATTTTTAACAAAGAACATAGTGATTTACCTCTATTTACATCAAAATGCAGGCAATGGCCCAGGCGTTCTTTGTAAAATTATTTACAAAACACTGTATAGTCTCACAAATGTCACTTTTTATTTATGCCACTACAAAAAAACATGATGTAAATGATGCATGATGTAAAACATGATGTAAAAAACTTGTGTAGATCCTCCTCTATGTCAGTCCATGTGTAATTTTTCCATAATTCTTTGTTTTTTGCAGCATTTTTGTTAGTGTAACTGCAGATTGTGCTGACAGTGTCTATGGCACAAAAAAAAAAAAAATTAAAATGCCTCAACATGAACCCCTGGTGGTCTCTGAGGGTGAAACCTGCTAACTGCTGCAGCTCTGTCAGCTTCAGTCTCCCATGCAGAGCTCTGAGCGCATGTGTGGCTCTGCACCCTTAGCAGCGTTGCTAACTCCTCAGTAAGGAAAGCCTGCTTCATGTCAGAGTCTCTAAACTCCAGAAGAAGTCGATAAAAGTCCCTTTCTTTCTAAAAAAAAAGTCGTTAGGGGGTCTGAAAAGTCATTGAATCTAACAACAAAGTCGCTAGGTTTGCAACTACGTGTCCCAGACTGCATCCCTGCTGAGAGTCCCTCCCTCCCTTCTCATATTGCAGGAAGAACGTAAGCGCCCGCCCCTTGTCAATCAGTCACCATATAATTTTGGATTGGTTGTTGTGGTGAAGTTTTCCACCAATAGGAGAGATGTTGTGGTGTGTTTTTTTTTTCTTTTGGCAAGCCTTTTCCGCCTGTAAGACCTGTCGCTAATGTCTGCATGCTATGTTTTCCTGTCTCATACAGCGCGATCGAGCGCCGAACGTGATCAAAATAAGCAGAAAAAAAGTATCGCGGACATAATTTATCATAACCCTGGTTTTATTTGGCCTATCAACACAATTTAAAAACTGGTATATAGGTTGAGGTCCTCACTTTTGAGATAAGTTGAAACGGAGAGTCAACGAGGCTCCGTCTTGCAGCTACATCCGGTTAAATATGTCATGTGACTTGAACGCACACACACACACACACACACACACACACACACACACACACGCACACACACACACTCAGAGTCTGGTTTTTAGCACCTGCAAAAACATGCTATTTACATATTTGACTAGAATGCAGAGGCTCCTTTTGCCCCTGAAAAAAATCAAATTTCAAACACAACTTGACTGGTCATTTCTCCAAAAGACAACCATGAAGCTCCATCCAAACCTGAAGCAGGCAGTTGGTGCATGTGTACAGTAACCTGAGGGGAGTGAGGTGACTGCTTCTGAGGAGAACATGAGCAGTGAAGATTCACCTTGGAGCTAGAACAGAGACATGCACATGATTATACAGGGGCAGGGGCTCAAGTTTTTTCCAGTTGTTTATACAATATGGAAATTAATGTGAAATTAAAAAACAAAGTATTAATAGAAAGGTAATGACTGTCCTGAGTAGGTGACAGTGATATCCAATAGGCTAGGCACTCAAGAGGCTGGCTGTGGCAAGTGTAAGTGAAAGCAACACGCACTGGCAAGAAGAACAGCAAACGCCGATGAAGGAAAAGGGTCTTTGCAGTGATGGGCGTTACCAGAGAGGGCGATGGCCAGAGGACACAAATGGGACGGGGAGGCAGCGCATTGGGGGGGGGGGGACGCGACACAGCTCGGGCCCGCCAGTGCCCCAACGGGGTCCTAGTTATTATTGATTTTGCATGTGCTGTTTCTATATATTGTACATTCCATTCAGTTACTTCACACACTGGGGGTGGGGGGGGGGGGGGATGCTCTCCTTTTGTTCTCAATATGAGGGGGGAAGGGGGGTCTTCTGTTCAAGTCAAAAATGTTAAGTTAACACTTATAATGTGTGGGCTGCAACTGTGATGTAGTGTTCTGGTCTTTTTGGTAAGGGAGATGTACAGAATACAGATAGAGACCAGGTCTGTAGTCCTTTGATGAACTTAATTTACATTATCATATTAAATTGCTTTACAGCAAGGAGGGGGGAGGGGGAATTTTGTGTCTAAAGAGAGAGGGTGGGGGTGTTGATAGGAGTGGAATGCAGGGCTTTCAGGTCAGCAGGTCACTACTGCCAGCCCACATTAAATGCAGATTTATGGCTGTGCAAGAGAGAGGTCTTTTGTAGTCATCATGGCAAAACAAACCTCTGTCACTGTGTTATTTACCGCCCTTCCCACATACAAACATACAGCATTTGGTGTACTGATTTTTGTTTATATGTTTTATTAAAGGCCGGTTGATGAAGGCTGCTGAATTGAAGAAAGACTCCAGCGTGCTTTTGCATATTAAAGACAAAGACTGTGTAGCCCAGGAGGTGCGGTACCACCGGTCCTGTTTCAAACAGTACACAAGGTTTTTGTCAAGGCCTGAGGCAACAAGTACTGCAACCCAAGATGAAGTGTGAGTTATTACAATGGATTAACATTTTCTTACACATTGCATATGTCAAAATGAGGCATTGACAAACAACATTGTTTAACTGTAAATCCAAAGGAGTAAACGATCTACAAGCTTACAACACATCACCTTGTAGGCTTGTAGATCTACTATTTCTTTTATTTTTAAAACTGAATAAGTGTGAAGATAGTTCAACATGGAAACAAATATGAAGATGATGCGAAAAAATGTGTTGTGAAATCATTTTGATTGTATGATTATGTAAATATGACATGACTACAACTGTTTACACATGGTGTGTGTGTGTTTTCAGAGTTGAAACAACCTTCGTTGACGGCTACAAGTTCTTCTGTGAGACAGTCATCCGTCAAAGGATTATGGTTAACCAGGAAGTGCTGAAAATGAACCAGCTACGAAAGACATTTGTGAGCATAGTGAAGCATCAAGAGGGTCTTGATGCTTCAGGCTACAGGTAAATGAAATACCATGTGTGTCTCTGACTGTTCTTGGAAATCAAAAAAGAAAAGAAAAAAGCACACGCACACACACACTTGTTCTCATCTTCTCCTATACTTTTTGTGTTTCAGGCAGGATCTACTGAAAAGGCGGTTGATGCGTGATTTCCCCCAGCTCATTTTCCACTGCCCTGTGAAGAGACACATCTGTGAACTTGTTTTTGTTGAGACACTATCAGCAGATAGACTATTAGACACACTACCACAATGATCAGGTACATCAACTGAGTCCACTGAGGTAAGCCATGCTAAAAGCCAAACTGAAAGTGACACTGAACACATGGCCAGCACAACATCTGGACAGGATACTGCTGAAGTCACAAGGACACTGTATAGTGCAGGACTGATCTTGAGGAGGCTTCTAAGTGAATCTCCCGGTATGACATGCCCCTGGCCTCCCGCCGCTGACGATTTAAATGTTTCTAATGCTCAATCTGTTGTGCCAGTTGAACTGTATAATCTAATTGCCTGGATTATAGGGGCAGCAGAAGAACCAACAGTAGGGTGTTATGTAAATATTCCCGAAGATGTTAAGCTAAAAGTTTTATCTGTTTGTCAAGACATTGTCTACCATACATCTAAAGGTCGTAAGCAGACACCAAAGTCATTGTGCCTTGGGCTAACTGTACGCCATTTAACAGGTTCATTGAATCTTCTGTCCCTACTGAGTAGACTAGGACATTGCACGTCATGGAACACGGTTCTCAGTCTAGACACTAGCCTAGCAGAACTACAACTACTAGAGAACAGAGACAAAATCCCAAAGGGATTCACAAAAAAGGTGCCTACAGTACTAGTGTGGGACAACATTGATTTTGGGGAGGAGACACTGTCCGGTGGTGGAACTACTCACCATACAAATGGCATTATGGTTCAAAGTTCTGTCGCTGAAACTCAATCAAGGACAGACAGACAGCCACTAAAGAAGGCAGTTTACACATTCGAAGCACCTCCTAGCTTCCCTGTAGAACACTACCAACAGACTAAAAGACAAGGGCCACATAACTTGTTTCACCAAGAAAGTGTACCATTGCAGCAGGAAACATTTAGGTTGAATACTGTGTCTGCTGCCAAAACTGAACTGGCATATGCTTTATTTAAGTACGAAGATGCTGAAGCATGCACAGTGCCAAGCTGGATAGGTTTCCATACAATGCTTCAAAGTGATGCGACTTTGCAAAAGTCAGCACTGTATTACCTTCCTGTCATTGAGGCTTCACCAACAGAGATGTCAACTGTTAACACAATTCTGAAGAGAAGTGTTGCAATTGCTGATCAGCTAGAACTGGGCCATGTAGTGTTAGTTTTCGACCAAGCTACATATGCCAAAGCTCAACAAATCCGCTGGAATAATGATGAGTTCACAAAGCGTCTAGTTATTAGACTAGGTGAGATTCATACATCCATGTCCTTCCTAGGTATTTTAGGAAAAAGGTTTGGTGATGCAGGATTGCAAGATGTACTCATTGAGTCAGAAGTTGTTGCCCCAGGATCCATAAATGGGGTGATCAGTTGTCATCAATACAACCTCAGCATGAGGGCACACAAACTTATGTATGAGAGTCTGCAACGCGCCAGATTTAGCTCATTCCTTGACTCTTTGACACCACAGGAGAGAGATGAGTGCATACATGTCATCAGTGAGATCAAAGACACATTCCCAGACAGAACAACAGATGTGTTGAGTGGACATGAGAAATTTGATCAGTTGTGTTCAAATTACGCTGTCTTTGTGGAGCAGAGAAGTGCAGAAAACCCAACCTTTGCCTTCTGGACTTCCTACATTGACATGGTGCACTTACTCCTTCTGTTTCTGGGAGCAACACGCCTACAGACTGGCAGCTTCACCTGTCAACAGTGCGCTTGATGATGGCATGGTTCTTTGCTTATGATCGTGTGAACTACACTAGGTATTTGCCTCTGTACTGGCTGGAAATGGTGAATTTGCCTCACACACATCCCTCTTGTCATAAAGATCTCACTGTGAGAGGCCAGTGGACAGGCCAAGGACAGAGTGCCCATGGATTTGCCTCAGTTGCTTGTGACCAGGCTATTGAGCAAACATGCAACAGAGATTCCAAGACAAAGGGTGGCTGGATAGGGATAACACAGAATAGGGCTGCAGTGTCCCGCTGGATATTGTCACAACATGAAAGAGCTGCCATAGCTAGACAATGTGAGTCAATGGCTGGTATATCTCATGAAACACATAGACGAAAAGATCTAGACAGCACACGGATTCAGGCAGATGAAAAGGCTGTGACCAGAATAAGTTCCACCATAGATTCCATGCTAAACCCATTTGACATACACCAAGATGGCAATGTTTGTCTTAGCTCAGGGACAATAGCAGCTGAAGATGTCCAGAAAGATTTGCTTGGAGCACAAGAAAGGGGGGAAAAAGCAGTCAAAGAGTTTATAGACAAAAGACTGTTGTCAAAATCAGTTGACATATTTGCCCCCATCAAGGCACAAAAGCTGAGGACCTTCAGTGACCAGGCAAGAACGAAAAAAAAATCTGCAGCTGGCAAAGATGTGATTCTGCGTGCAGACAAAAAACTGTTCTCGAGACTACTCATTATTGGTCAGAGCAGGAAGATAGACCTGAGAGAAATTCTGTCCTGCTCCTTGGGAACAGTTTCATATCCTTTAGCCATTACTG